GGGGGGAGTAGTGAACGGTGGCTCAAGGAGCAGAATAATGATAGGCTTAAGCAAAAAAAGCTCAGGTACAACACCTACACCCTCACCTAAGTTCAAGCTCCAAGACTGGCACACAAAAAAAGGCATTAAAAATATAGCGATATATAAATCAAAGCATTTTCTTAGCCTGGCTCACACCTGCAATCCTAGCTAACTCAGGAGGCTGAAATCTGAGAGTCATGGTTCAAAGCCAGCCCCGGCACAAAAATCTTATTTCTAATGAACTACTTTAAAAAAAAAAAGCTGGAAGTTAGCTTCTTGGCTCAAGTAGTAGAACACTAGCCTTTTTTTTTTTTTTTGGCGGGGGGGTCCAGTAGTGGGGCCTGAACTCTGGGCCTGGGCACTTTTCCTCAGCTCTTCAGCTCAAGGCTAGCGCTCTACCACTTGAGCCACAGCACCCCTTCCAGCTTTTTTCTTTTTGCTTATGTAGTGCTAAGGAATCGAACCCAGGGCCTCATGCATGCAAGGCAAGCATTCTACCACTGAGCCACCTTCCCAGCCCTAGAACACTAGCCTTGAATACAAAGAGGCTCTTTTTTTTTTTTTGGTAGTGTGGGGCACTCAGGGCCTGGGCACTGTCCTTGATCTCTTTTGCTCAAGGCTAGCACTCTACCACCTTGAGCCACAGCTCCACTTCCAATTTTTTGGGGGTTAATTGGAAATAAGAGTGTCATGGAGACATTTCTGCCAAGGCTGGCAGGTATGAGCCACTAGGTGCCCAGCCAAGAAAATGTCTTGATTTATATTCCTCTCTCTCTCTATATATATATATATATGGTTGTTTGGTTTTTTTTGGGGGGGGTCCGGTGGTGGGGCCTGAGCTCTGGGCCTGTACACTGTCCCTCAGCTCTTCAGCTCAAGGCTAATGCTCTACCACTTGAGCCACAGCGCCACTTCCGGCTTTTTTTTTCTGCTTATGTGATGCTGAGGAATCGAACCCAGGGCCTCATGCATGCAAAGCAAGCGCTCTACCACTGAGCCACCTTCCCAGCCCTATTTCTCTATATTTTTAAAGCTAAACCTCACCATTACAAAACAAGTACTGCAGAGCCCAGCTGTCACAACAATATAAACTGTGCCCTCTGTGTATATGACAATCACCAGAAACAATCCCACTTACCTCATGTTCTGAAAAAAGTGCTTTCAACTGTCCCTTGGACCAATAATCCAAAGCATATGCCAAAAGCCGCATGGCGATCGTATTAACTCTCAAGAAATTTCCAACAAATACCACCTGGTTAATATTCTAAGCACATCAAAAAAGAGCAGTTAGTTTCATTCTTAATTCTTTTCATAGAACCTACACAACACAGCACTATAGTTTTTAGTAGTGATTTGACTGCTAATCAAATTTAATCCAATTGGTTCAAGGCTAATGAAATTTGATCCCCAAACATCTATGGACCCACTACATGTATGCTCAAAACTGTCATTAAAAAAAACCCACATGGGCTGGGAAGGTGGCTCAGTGGTAGAGCACTTGCCTTGCATGCTCAAGGCCCTGGGTTCGATTCCTCAGCACCACATAAGAAAAAAGCCGGAAATGGCTCTGTGGCTCAAGTGGTAGAGTGCTAGCCTTCAAGCTGAAGAGCTGAGGGACAGGGCCCAGGCCCAGAGTTCAGGCCCCACGACCAGACCCAAAAAATAAATAAAAATTTTTAAAAAAAATAAAAAAAATACACATTTGTATTAAACATGACAAATAAAAACTGCTAAATAAAAATGGCATATAGGTAGGTTTACAAAAAAGACTGCAGTTCAAACAAGAAAAGTGCCACAAACGGACACTTTTTCACTAGTGATTGAAATTTTAGACCTAATAAATTAACAAAACAAAAAAAAACATGAAATTCCATCCCCAACATTAAATAATAAAATTTATCCACTCATTAATGCTAGACATAATATTAATGGGTGCAGCCTGTGCACCAAAAGTCACAGCAATTTGTACCAAGATTCATAATCTAGGCCACACTGAACAATCAGAAGTCTAACAAAAAAAAAAGTAAGTCACAAAACAGCTTCACACACTTAAAACTATGTGTTGAACAGTTATAGCTGGTGCCCAAATGCTCAACTCTATGGGAATAATTTTAACAACCACAACAACAAAAATGATCAAATAAGTAGCCATGAAATACATAGTATTGGGCTGGAAAGGTGGCTCAGTGGTAGAGCGCTTGCCTTGCATGCATAAGGCCCTGGGTTCGATTCCTCAGCACCACATAAGCAGAAAAAAAAAGCCGGAAGTGGCATTGTGGCTCAAGTGGTAGAGCGCTAGCCTTGAGCTGAAGAGCTGAGGGACAGCGCCTAAGCCCAGAGTTCAGGCCTCACGACCGGACCAAAAAAAAAGAAATATATAGTATTTTTTAAGTGAAACTATACAACAGTATGTACCATCACCTAAAATGTCTTAAAATATGTCAATGAATAGTAGTATTCAAATGAATTATCAGTTATGTGATCCCCTAGTATCTTTGATAAAAGACAAAGCCCTGGGTTCAATTCCTCAGCACCACATAAGCAGGAAATGCTGGAAGTGGCACTGTGGCTCAAGTGGTAGAGCACAAGCTTTGAGCAGAAGAGCTGAGGGACAGCGCCCAGGCCCAGAATTCAGGCCCCATAACCAAAAAAAAAGACAAATCCTTTTGAGCTTTCCTTTTAAGCCACATTTCCATATAAACTATTTAAAGAATAATGTTTAAACTAGATGTATAAATAGGGAAAAAGCCACTAAGCTGCACCTTCTGGATCCTAGATCCTCTCTCCCTCAGTGCAGCCCATTCTTGGTTCTTTCATAGCCCTGTACAATGCTGCTTGACCCAAATGCTACAAGGCAGCACTGTAAAGAAGCTGAAAGCACAAAGATAGCTCTGCTGAGATGGAGGGCAGCCAGGGCAGGCCTTCCTCTGCCTGCTCAGTCTTCTCCCAGCTCCAGTGACTTCCTGTAGATTCCTTCCCAGGGCTCTACAGCTCCAGGTGGGCATGCGTCTAGAATCAGCATTGTTATCCATCATCAAACCCACCCCCATCACTGCCCTACCTTCCTCCACTTTCTCCCAACAGAGGTCATTTTACCTCTACATTAACAGTATTTATCTTTAGTTAAGTGAAAAAAAGAAATAAAGATTACTTTGTACTCGAAGAGTTTTAACTTTACACTAATTCAAAGTTCACCCCACTAAGGCACTAACTACATTAAGGTGAGGCCCACTTAGGAATTTCAGCATTTTCTCAGAGCAACAGAAGAAAGCTATGCCCCCTTACTTCATTAAGGGCACACATCCTTGCTATAGAGCCAATGTTGTTGGTGATAGTGATCAAAGTCGCTCGGGCAAGATCCTCCTTACTGACAGCCTCTCTCTTCTCCTTGCTCATCATGTTTCCAAAGCTGTGGAAAAAAATAGTCCATTGCTAAACCAAAAGCAACACAGCCCAACAGAAATTTCTGACATAAAACTGACTTTTAGGGCAACACTGTTCAAATCCTCCAACTTTTTATACGGATGGATTCACTGCCCAATGAGAACTCAGCTTCAAATAGAAGTGTTCTAATTGAGCAGCTTTTCTGGTGGCTTCTACTGAATTCCAAATGATACCAGCTAGTCCTGCATTCAGTCCCAGATCTACTGGAATCTACACTGCCCTTCCTGCCAACACAGCCAATTCAGAAGAAACCTCTATTGGCAATTCACTCCAACTGAACAGCTGTTCCACAAAAGTGAGCACCTTCACATCTGCAAAACTGCTTTAGTAGAGCAAAGCAAAGCATAGACAGACAGCCTCCAGAACGAGTTACTTGTTTCAGATTTCCACAGCAGATAAAGTACTTCAAATTTCACCAGCAGAATTGTTTTAATAAATTACCAGAAAAAAATCTCATCCAGGGGCTGGGAAGGTCGCTCAGTGGTAGAGTGTTTGCCTTGCATGCGTGAGGCCCAGGGTTCGATTCCTCAGTGCCACATAAACAGAAAAAGCTGGAAGTGGCGCTGTGGCTCAAGTGGTAGAGCACCAGCCTTGAGCTGAGGGACAGTGCCAGACCCAGAGTTCAAAAAAAAAAAAATCTCACCCAGTCAGAAAAAAAATGCTAAAATGAGCAAATGTTGCAAAAATAGAAAATAGATACTCAAGTACCAAAATTAAAAAGCAAATACATATACATGAATGCCTTTCCTACTATCCCCTATGGCATATCCCTTGTTGTCACTGTACTTGATTTTGGTACCCTACATCTTATATATACATATGCCTAATCTGGGGAGGGGAAGGGGAATAGCAAAACTCTAACAAAGCTGAAACAAGGACATAGGACCCATTGCAACAAGGATACCCACAGGCAGGGGGCCGGGGGGGAGGGAGATTGTGGGACAACAACAAGAAAGGGAAGGGGTAACAATGATTGACAAGTAATATACTCATTCCCTTACTCATGTAACTATAATCCCTCTGTACAGCATCTTTACAATAAAATTAAATAGTTGTCATGAATAGTTTTTTGCTACAGACTATGTCCTCCAACTATTTGTTTTCTTTGTCTTTACTTGAATTTATTTCAAATGCAACATTAAAATTCTATAAAGAATGTATAGTTTCTGCACTGTACAACAACTCAAATGGTTCTCTGAAGCAAAAACAAAAACAAAAAAACACATGCTCCAATGTACAAAAAAAAAATTGTACTCAACAATCTCAAAATAAAATTAAGAAAACAATTCCAAGCTAGGCATGATGGTGCACACCTGCAATTCCAGCACTTGAGAGACTGAGGCAGGAAGATCACAAGTTTAAGGCCAATCTGACCTACATATGAAGATCCTGTCTCAAAAAACAAAAGAAAACAATTCCATGTTCAATAGCATCAATGGAAATAAAATACTTAGGAATGTTTCTAACCAAAGAAGTCTTTAACTCAGCCACATGCTGGAGGCTCACACTTGTAATCCTTGCTACTCAGAGAAGCAAGGCTGAGGCTTGAAGATCAAGTTTTAAAACCAGCATGGGCAGAAAAATCCCAGAGACTCTTTATGTCCAATTAACCAGTAAAAAGTCAGAAGTGGCTTAGGCTCAAATGGTAGAGGGCCAGCCTTGAGAGAAAAAAAGTCAAATGAAAGTACCAAAAACAAAACAAAAAGTCTTCAACAAATGGTGCTTGGACAACTAGAGAGCCACATTCTAAAGAAGGAATTTGGACCTCTACTTTGTATCATACATAAAAATTAACTCAAAATGAAACTTAATTCAAATTTGAAAATAAAGAGCTAAAAAAAATGTTTTTGGCAGTACAAGGAGTTGGACTCAAAGCCTTAAATTTAGGTAGGCATTAAACTCCCCAGTCCTTTATTCTTAGTTATTTTTCAGATAGGATATCACATATAATGCCCAGGTGGATCTGGAGTAAAATCCTACTTATGCTTCCCATGGCAGTGAGCACTACTAACTGAGATAAGGGTCTCACTATTTGCCCTAGTTGGCCACTAATTATCTTCCTGATCTCCACCTCTAACCAGTAGCGGGATTACAAGGTCTTACTACATAGCCAAAGCTGACCTAAACTTCAAAATCATTCTGCCTCTGCCTCCACTTCCCTACTGTTAGAATTACAAGCATACACCACCATACTTGGCTTGAAAAAATTTACTGTTCCTGGGCTGGGAATGTAGCTTAGTGGCAGAATGCTTGCCTACCATTAAGGACTTGAAAGACTAAACAAGAGAGGAAAAACCATTTGAAAATGATGTATCTAATAGATGACATTGTCCACAATATGTAAATAACCTTGGCAACTCAATAATAAAAACTAAAAACTAGCATCAGATGTGAATAGATATTTCTCCTAAAGTAACAAGCACAGCCAATAAACACATGCAAAACTTCATCACTAGCCATTAGGCAACCATGAATCAAAACCACAATGAAAGTTGGGCATGGTGGCATATATATGTAACCCCAGTACTTGAAAGGCTGAAGTAGAAAGGCCCTTAGTTTAAGACCAACCTCAGCTACAGGGTGCGCTACACGTCAGCCTTGGAAAATGAAAAGAAGGGGGGCTGGAAATGTGACTTAGTGGTAGAATGCTTGCCTAAAGTGTGAAGCCCTGGGTTCAATTCCTCAGCACCACATAAACAGAAAAGGCCAGAAGTAGTACTGTGGTTCAAGTTGTAGAGTACTAAGCCTTGAGCACAGAGAGGCTCAAGGACAATGTCCAGGCCCTACATTCAAGCCTCAGGATGGACACCAAAATAAATAAATAAATAAATATACATGTAGGGCGCCGGTGCCTCATGCCTGTAATCCTAGCTACTCAGGAGGCTGAAATCTGAGGATCACGGTTCAAAGCCAGCCCAGGCAGGAAAGTCCGTGAGACTCTTATCTCCAATAAAGCACTAGAAAACCAGAAGTGGTACTGTGGCTCATGTGGTAGAGTGTTATCCTTGAGCTGAAAAGCTCAGGGACAGCACCCAGGCCCAGAGTTCAAGCCCCATGACGGACCAAAAAAAAAAAAGAAAGAATATATAGGCTGGGCACCCATGGCTCACGTCTGCAATCCTAGCTACTCAGGATGCTAAGATCTGAGGACTGTAGTTCAAAGCCAGCCCAAGCAGAAAAGTCTGAGACTCATCTCCAACTAACCACCAGAAAACTGGTTCAAAGTGGTAGAATGCTAGCCTTAAGCAAAAGCTCAGAGACAGCACCCAGTCCCTGAGTTCAAGCCTCACAACCAACAACAACAAAAAAAGAGATTATGCTAAGCGATAACAGCCAGGTAGGAAAGATAACATTGCACACTGTATGATACCATTCATATGAAATGCTTAAACCAGGCAAATATAAAAACAGAAATAGATTTGTGTTGGGTAGGGTTAAGGGTGGGGAATTGTATTTGCAAGTAATGGATATAAATATGATTAAGATTTCCTGAAAATTAGTTATGGTGAAGTGGCACTAAATTATATACTTTTTGAACAGGTGACTTTATAGTAAATTATATTTCACTATAAAATATGCTAAGCCGGGCACCGGTGGCTCATGCCTGTAATCCTAGCTACTCAGGAGGCTGAGATCTGAGGATCATGGTTCAAAGCCAGCCCAGGCAAGAAAGTCCGTGAAATCTCCAATAAACCACCAGAAAACCAGAAGTGGCGCTATAGCTCAAGTGGTAGAGCGCTCGCCTTGAGCTGAAGAGCTGAGAGACATCGCTCAGGCCCAGAGTTCAAGCCCCACGACTGACAAAAAAATAAAAATAAAAAATAAAATAAAACATGCTATCCCAGCACTGATGGTTCACACCTGTAATCCTAGCTACTGGAGGAGGCTAAGATTTGGAAGATTGCTATTCGAAGCAGAAAAACCCATGACTGTCTTATCTCCAATTAACCAGCAAAAAGTCAGGCTGAAGGCATGGCTCCATGGTAGAGTGCTAGAGGTGATCAAGAAAGCCAGTGAGGGTCGCAGTATCAGCTCCCGAGCCTGTGCTGTGGCCCTGGCTGGTCAGTGTAGGAACTTTCTCAATAAAGTTGCTTCTTTATTTAAAAAAAAAAAAAAAAGCAAGCCAGTGAGGGGCTGGGAAGGTGTCTCAGTGGTAGAGCACTTGCCTTGCATGCAGGAGGCCCTGGGTTCAATTCCTCAGCACCACATAAGCAAAAAGAAAAAAAGCCAGAAGTGGTGCTGTGGCTCAAGTGATAGAGCACTAGTCTTGAGCTGAAGAGCTGAGGGATAGTGCCCAGGCCCAGAGTTCAGGCCCCACGACCCGACCAAAAAAAAAGCCAATGAGTTCAATCCTTGGTACCAGCACAGGAAACATATGCCTCTTGTTCAGGATTTTATCCCTGCAATTCGTACAACACACATTCTCCCTCCTTACCTTGAAGCCACAGCCCAGCCTGGCAATCCAAACCTTTCATAGTCTCCTCCATAAATGTCCCGTACTAGTTTGTCCACTTTGGTGCTATCTCCACGAGATGCCATTTCAAGAGCTTCTTCAAAAGTGGTACAGCCAGTAAGCAGACAGCAGAGACCAAAAAAAGTTCCTCCTCCAAGACTGTGATTAAAACAAGCAGTGTAGTATTATAACATTGAGGGGAGGGATAATTTGTTTTTTTCCAGTACAGGGTTTGAACTCAGGGCCCAAGCTTGCTCAGCTTTGCTTGGTTGATTGGCACTCTACCACTTGAGCCAAGCTTCCAGCCCTATTTGAGCCAAGCTTCCAGCCCTATTGTGGTATTTTTTAAAAATAGGAACAGGAAGGTGACTGTTTCATTTACAAACCCTGAAACCATATTCATTCATATCAATCCTTACAGCAACCCAGTCATGCACATTAAGATATGTCTTAAGATTTTTTTGAAAACGGTGCCACATATGCACTCAATGTAATGAACATATTCATGTGAGCCAGCAACAAAGTCACAAAATGTAAGGTCCTGCCCATGTTTCCAGTGCAGTCGGTGCCTGCTGAGTGTGAAGCCCCCAGGTGCATATCAGTCAACACACTTGGGGTCATGTTGGCACCTCCTCCCTTTCCCAGTTACTTTAGTTTACTGATGCCACCCACCCACTAGATTCCTCCAATGATATTTGCTGACCAAAACTATTCTAATTCTTTAGCCCAGACCTGTTTTTAAAAAAATCTTGCAGGGCACCAGTGACTCACACCTGGAATCATACTCAGGAGGTTGAGATCTGAAGATCTCATGGTTCAAAACCAGCCCAGGCACAAAAGTCTGTGATACTCTTTATCTCCAATAAACTGGTCAGAAAACCAGAAGTGGCGCTGTGGCTCAAGTGGTAGAGAGCTATCCTTGAGCTGAAGAGCTAGGGACAGCACCCAGGCCCAGAGTTCAAGCCTCATTACACACACACAAAAAAAAAATCTTGCTGATCCCAATCCCCAGTTCCTTATTTCTTCTAGTGTCCTGTAGATCTTGAAGCCAAAACATTCTTTTCACATCTAAGCTTTCCTTTTTAGTCTATCCTCACCCATGTTTTTGTTGTTTGTCAATCAAAGGGCTTGAACTCAGGGCCTAGGTGCTGTCCCTGAGCTCTTTTTACTCAAGGCTACTGCTCTACCACTTTGAACCACAGCGCCACTTCTGGTTTCCTAGTGGTTAATTGAAGATAAGAGTCTCACAGGTACTTTTCTGATCAGTCTAGCTTTGAACCACAATCCTCAGATCCCAGCCTCCTTGGTTAGAATTATAGGCATGATCCACCAGTGCCCAGCCTCACCCATTTTTCTATTGATGGGAACCCTGAACATTTTCACAATTTGAACCATGCCCATCTCAGCCCTTGATGTGTATGTACATGTGAATACATGTATAGACATAAAATCTACAGATTGCAAAGCTAGGACCTTCCCTTCCCTTCTCTTTTAAAAACCTATGTAGGAACTTTAGCTACTTCATATGTGCCATACCAGAGGATAAGAATTACAGAATTAGCCGGGTGCTGGTGGCTCACACCTGTAATCCTAGCTACTCAGGAGGCTGAGATCTGAGGATCGCGGTTCAAAGCCAGCCCAGGCAGGAAAGTCTGTGAGACTCTTTTTTTTTTTTTTTTGCTGGTCATGGGCATTAACTCTGGGCCTGGGCGCTGTCCCTCAGCTCTTTAGCTCAAGGCTAGTGCTCTACCACTAGAGCCACAGCGCCACTTCCGGCTTTTTCTGTTTATGTGGTGCTGAGGAATCGAACCCAGGGCCTCATGCTTGCAAGGCATGCACTCTACCGCTGAGCTACCTTCCCAGCCCTCTGTGAGACTCTTATCTCCAATAAACCACTAGAAAACCGGAAGTGGTGCTATGGCTCACTCAGTAGAGCACTCGCCGTGAGCTGAAGAGCACAGGGACAGCACCCAAGCCCAGAGTTCAAGCCCCATGACCAACAAAAAAAAAAAAAAAAGAATTAAGAATTAATAGTCTAGTGATTCATTTTATGAAGCTACAGTAAAAATTCTAAACAAGAGAGACTGAAGTAGGTCATGAAATCAAAATTTTCAAGAAACATGGGTTTGCAAAACCCAAAAATTTTAACACTTTCACAAAATTTCAACAAAGTATTGAAGATAGTTGTAATATCCAAAAGCTTGGTTAAACAATGATTTCTTAATAAAATACTTTCCTTGGGCTGGGAATGTGCCTTAGTGGTAGAGTACTAGCCTAGCATGCATGAAGCTCTGGGTTTAATTCCTCAGTAATATATAAACAGAAAAGCTAGAAGTGATGCTGTGGCTCAAGTGATAGAATGCCAGCCTTGAGCAAAATTCTCAGGGACAATGCCCAGGCCCTGAGTTTAAGCCTCAGTACTGGCAAAAACAAAAATAAAATAAAATACTTACCTGGTACCTGTGACCCTCTTATAATTATCTTTGGAATATACTGCTAAGATGCTAACCCCTGAGCCAATGTTCACCAGAAGCAGAGGGTATGGATTTTTCAAATTAAATGGTAACTTCTGACATTTTTCAGAATCAGCAGGGTTTTCAAAGTAATAGCATGGTGACCGTCCATTAAATCCAACTGAATCAATGTATAAAATTCCTTTTATTAAGCAATCTAATTCATCCAGTTTGCAAAGCTGAAGATCTCCTATCTGTAATAAAAAACATATTTAGATTTTTTTAATAAGCCTACAAGTATTTTTGAAATTCCATTAAAAAACATCCCCTCTATATTAATAAGCCATAAAAACATATCCACAGATGTACACCATCATGTATGTTTTACAGAACAGTACTGGGGATTATGAAAAGGGGATAGACTGACTAGACAGACACCTGTTTCCACAGAACAAAATAATACACTCCACATGCAAATGACTTTAATAGCTAGAAGAGTCCCAAAATCACAAGTGAGCTCTTAGCAAAAGTCAAGCAGAAAAAAGGATCTCTGCTATCAGGGACAGGATGCAGGCATACAGCTGACACTATAGCTCTAAGAGAGCACCTAATAACAGTAGATAACAGAGCCATGAAGTTTCTAACAACTACCTTCCAAAAGACCATCCTCAAGGCTATGGAGGAATATCAAAAGAAGCCACAAATTATTATTTAACAACCTGAACCCAAAGGACTACAAGTGCCCAACAATATAGGATTTCTCCCTGGGTGCTGATGCCTCACGCCTGTAATCCTAACTCTTTAGGAGCTGAGATCTGATAATCACAGTTCAAAGCCAGCCTGAGGAAGAAAGTCTGTGAGCCTCTTATCTCCAGTTAATCACCAGAAAACCAGAACTGGTACTATGGCTCAAAGTGGTAGAGCACTATCCTTGAGCAACAGAGCTCAGCAACAGCACCAAGGCCCCAATTCAAGCCCCACAACCAACCCAAAAAAAGGCTGCTTACAGTCTTTTGGAGGAGGACAGCTTAGTAGTATCAGAATTCAAACCATTAATCAACTTAATTTCTTTTAAATAATAATTATTGAAACTATGAGGCACAATACACCAATTAGAATGAAGACAATCTATATGTAAATATGTAGATCCTTCTGGGAAGATTCTCAAGACAAGTCATTAATCAAAAGAGCAAGTTTATGCTAGCAAAGGTGGCTCATGCCTATAATGCTAATCAGAAGGCTGAGATCTGAGGATCACAGTTCAAAACTAGGCCTGACAGAAAATCTGACATGTTTTGTTTTTGTTTGGTGCCAGTTCTGGGGTTTGAACTCAGGACCTAGGCACTACCTACCCTTTAAAAACAAAAAGGCAGGGCTGGGAAGGTGGCTCAGTGGTAGAGCACTTGCCTTGCATGCCTGAGGCCCTGGGTTTGATTCCTCAGCACCACATAAGCAAAAAGAAAAAACCCGGAAGTGGCGCTGTGGCTCAAGAGGTAGAGCACTAGCCTTGAGCTGAATTGCTGAGGGACAGCGCCCAGGCCCAGAGTTCAGGCCCTACAACCA